ATAAAGAAACCCGATTGAACTCATTTTTGTCCAAAGCGCAAAATAAGGCATTCATAGCCTTTGCGTTTAAAGAAAAATACTTCTTCTCTAAATCCGACCATTCGTTCATCGGTTTAGAGGGAAGTTGAAAACCGTTTTCAACGATATTCCATAAATCCAGATTTAGAGAAATCAAGAAAACTCTCATTCGAGTTTTCCAATAAGTGTAGTCCAATCCGTTAAAGAACGGTGGACGAAAGACCGAAAAGCCCTCTTGAAGAGCCATATCTCTCGGGTGTAAATCCGAAATGAGAAATACCCCGCTCTGATACCAATTGTTCGGATCGAGAGCACTAAGAGGGGGGGGGGGTTAATTAGTGCAGCAGAAATCTTTCAGCGATTAAAATCGAAAGCTGCATTTGTTCGATAAGAACTGTTTCGATGCAAAAGCCGATTCTAAGGTTACTTATGATTGAGTACAGTTTACGTCTAAACACAGTTTGCGTCTAAGCGCAGTTTACGCAGTTTGCGTCTAAATGTAGTTTGTGTCTAAATGCAGATTGCGACTAAACGCAGTTTGCATCTAAGTGCAGTTTGCGTCTTAGGCTCAGATTGCGTCTAAGCGCAGTTTGCGCAGTTTGCGTCTAAGCGCAGATTGCGTCGAAGCTCAGATTGCGTCTAAGCGCAGTTTGCGTTTAAGCACAGTTTGCGACTTAAGCGCCGATTGCGTCGAAGCTCAGATTGCGTCTAAGCGCAGTTTGCATCTTAAGCGCAGATTGCGTCTAAGCGCAGTTTGCGTCTAAACACAGTTTTACGTCAAAACATAGATTCAAAAAGATTTGAACTTAGACACTCGTTCGTAAAAGCGCAGAAGTCAGTTTGCAGTTATAGATGGAATGTAAACGTAAACTGCAGAGAAACTCGTTCGTAAAAGCGCAGAAATCAGTTTGCAGTTATAAACAGAATCAAGACGTAAACGTAAACTGCAAAGAAACTCGTTCGTAAAAGCGCAGAAGACAGTTTGCAGTTATAAATAGAATCAAAACGTAAGTGTAAACCGCAATGTAGAGATCGTACGAAAACACCGATTTATGTCTGAATGCAGATTCGGAAAGAACAGAACTTAGAAACTTGTTCATAAAAGCGCAGAGAGCAGTAGCTATGTAGGAGGTTTGCAGTAATGATAAAGTGCTCAAAATGAAAGCAAACCAGAGATTTAGAGTGGTTCGGTCAATCTTGACCTACTCCACTTTTGACTTCCTCCACCGACGAGGTCACCGACGTCAACTAGAAGCCTTCCTTCAATAGGCGAAGGCCAACTACCCTCTTACAGATTCACTCCTTTTGACGGGCTTAGGAGACAACCCTTACAGAAGTTTTCTCTCCTCTCTTTACAACTCAAACTTGAAGAATAGAAAGAGGAGAACTAGCAATTTTGAGCTCTAAGAAACACAGAAAGATAGGAAGATTTCGAGTGTGTGTTCTGTGCTTTCAGTGCTGAATGGGTGGGGTATTTATAGGCCCCAACCCAATTCAAATTTGGAGCTCAAAACGATCAAATCCCGGAATTCCGGGATCAGGCGGTTGCACCTCCTGACTGGAGAGGTTGCACCGCCTGGCAGAGCTCGAGGACTGAGCCCAGGCGGTTGCACCTCTCTGTCAGGGGTGGTTGCACCGCCTGAGTCTGGCTCGGAGACTGAGCCCCAGGCGGTGCCACCTCTCTGTCAGGGAGGTTGCACCGCCTAGTCTAGCTCGAAGACTGAGCTCAGGCGATGCCACCTCCTGGCTGGGGCGGTTGCACCGCTCAGTCTCGCTGGGAGGCTTAGCCCAGGCGGTGCCACCTCCTGGCCTAGGCGGTTGCACCTCCTGGTGTAATCAGGGTCCGAATGGTTAGCTCCATTCGGCCCAATTTCAGTCTTTCAGGGGCCCAATTGCCCCAAGATTAAGCTAATGGGATCACCTCTCATTTTCCAACTTAATCAACGTGCTAACTACGATTAGATCTAAGACAATTTCTGCAGCTTTGCTTCGGTGCGTCAATCGCTTCTTCCGGCGAGTTTCCGGCGAACTTCCGTCGATCATCCGATGAACCCTCGGTGATGCTCCTGCGGACTTCCGGCAAACTCCTGGACTTTGCGATGATCCACTTGGCGAGTTCCGACGAGCTTCGCTTGGCAAGCTTCTGGACTTCTCGGATCTGTTCTCGCAGAACCTCCGACGACCGTCCGAACTTCCATCGAACTCTCGAACTCCCAACGTGATCATGAACTTGACTCCGGCGCAACTCCTGCTGCTTGTCTAACTTTCATCATAGTTAATCCTGCACACACAAAACAAAAACTTCGATCGAGACAATTAATCCTAAGCAATTAACCAAGTTGTCCGGCATGTCATTGGTACCTCGACGCTTCGTCTGATTCTTCGGTGCATCGTCCTTTCCTGCAGCCTATTGCCCAATCGGCCAGTTGACTCCGCAACTCCGATATCCTTGGCACAATACCCGCTCTTCTTGGCCCGATGCCCGAGTCCACGACCCGAAGCCTTTTGTCGATACGTCAACTGATCCACCGGCCCGACGTCCAATCTTCTGACATGTTCCTCCGGCACAACATGATTTTCCTGCTTTAATTGTCTCATCCAGATCGAAGCATCCGGCGTCACTCAAAACACAGATTAAATCATAAACATATATCAAGTAGTTTCATCATCAAAATACGAGATTCAACATCTCCTCCATCCAGTTAGGCGGGGTTCGAGTCTCGACGACGCCGCAGGATGGTATGGTTGGCGCCGCTATGGGCTCGGTCACGGAGGTTCCTTCTAAACCCCGTGCGGAGGCTGCTTTCGCCAGGGCGTCGGCTGATGCGTTCTGGGCCCGGGGAACTTGCGTGATTGAGAACTGGCTGAAGAGGCGGGCGAGCCGCTGCGTTTCCGCCAGGTATGATGCCATTGTGGGGTCCCGGGCCTCGTAGCTCCCATTCACGTGTCCTGTCACCAGCTGAGAGTCGTTGAATACCTCGAGGTTGTCTACGTGCATCTCTAAGGCGAGGCATAGGCCATGTAGTAGCGCCTCATACTCGGCTTCGTTGTTAGTGGCTTGGAATTGCAGTCGGATGGACCTCTCGTAGGTTTCTCCAGTAGGGCTTCTAAGGACGAGGCCGATTCCGGCTGCGCCGGTGATGGCGGAGCCGTCGACGTGCAGGGTCCACGCGCGGTCGGTGTCCTTCCGTCCATCTGCACAATCCTCGGGCGTTAATTCAGAGATGAAGTCGGCCAGTACCTAGGCTTTGATGGCATTCCGAGGCGAGTATTGGATGTCGAACTCGCTGAGCTCGACCGACCACCGTAACATTCGGCCTGACACGTCGAACTTGGATAGGATTTTCTGCAGCGGCTGGTCAGTGACGACTTTGATTGTGTGGGACTGGAAGTATGGGCGCAGCTTTCGCGCTGTCTTTACCAACGCCAGAGCCAGCCTTTCGATAGGGGGGTACCGCGCCTCGGCTCCGGCGAGGACTTGGCTGACGTAATAGATAGGCTGCTGCTTCGGCGGTGCTTCTCGGACCAGTACCGAGCTGACTACTCACGCTGACGCCGCTCTGTAAAGGCCCAGGGTTTCCCCTGGCTCAGGGGAAGCGAGTCGGGGCAGGCGGGTAAGGTACATCTTTAGGTCTTCAAAAGCTTCCTCGCACTCGGGGGTCCAGGTGAAGTTGTTGACTTGTCGCAGGGCCTGGAAGAAGGGCAGGCATCTGTCGCCTGACCTGGATATGAATCTACTGAGCGTCGCCAGCTTCCCTGTGAGGCACTATACCTCTTTGACGGAGCGGGGTGAGTGCATCCGGGTTATAGCCCGTACCTTTTCCGGGTTGGCGTCTATTCCCCTCTGGTGGATGACGAAGCCGAGGAATCTTCCCGAGCTAACCCCGAAGACGCACTTTGCGGGGTTCAAACGCATACTAAATTGTCTAAGGGTCTGAAAGGTTTCCGTCAAGTCGGCCAGGTGCGCCTCCGCGGTTCTGCTCTTTACGATCATGTCGTCCACATATATTTCCATGTTCCTGCCAATTTGGCGTTTGAACAGCTTGTCGACCATCCTCTGGTAGGTTGCCCCAGCGTTCTTTAGGCCGAACGGCATCACCTTGTAGCAATATATTCCTCTGTCGGTGATGAAGGCGGTATTCTCTTGGTCTTTTGGTGCCATGTGGATTTGGTTGTAGCCCGAGTATGCGTCCAAGAAGGTAAGGAGTTCGTAACCCGAGGTGGCGTCGACTAACTGATCTATCCTCGGGAGCGGGTAGTAGTCTTTGGGACACGCCTGGTTGAGATTGGTGTAGTCAACGCACATCCGCCAGCTTCCATTAGACTTTTTAACAAGGACTGCATTTGACAGCCACTGGGGGTACTTCACTTCGGAAATGAACCCGGCCTCTGTCAATCGGTCGACTTCTTCGCTGATCGCCTTCTGCCGGTCGGGGGCGAACCTCCGTGGCCTTTGCTTCACAGGCTTGGCCTCGGGATTGATGTTAAGCTGGTGTTTGGCTACCGTGCGATCGATCCCTGGCATTTCCTTGGGCGACCATGCGAATACATCGGCGTTTTCCTTCAGGAACTCGACGAGCTGGAGCTGGTTTTCTTTGGGTTGGGCCGCGCCGATTTTCACAGTCTGACCGGGCCGGTCTCCCTTTATCGGCACCTCGGTAAGCTGCTCAGGGGGTTCAAGGTGCGTTGGTGTGGCAGCCTCTTCTCGAGGGTCTGGGATATGGGGGCATGCCCTCTTCGGGAGGGAGACCGCGGTGAGGTAGCACCTTCTCGACTCTCCTGGGTCACTTCGTGACTCTCCGACCCCTGTCGAGGTGGGAAACTTGATGGCTCGGTGGTAGGTTGAGACTACCGCTTTCAGCTTGTTGAGCGTTGGGCGTCCGAGGATGACGTTGTAGGCCGAGGGCAGGTTGACCACCATGAACGTAGTCATTATTGTCCTGGTCCTTGGTTCCTCCCCAATGGTAACAGGGAGTGTGGTGGTGCCGAGCGGGGAGATTGAGTCTCCGGTGAATCCCGTGAGGGCCGAGCTTTGGGAATGAGGTCCTCGGTGGGCAAGCCGAGCCTTTTGAAGGCGTCGAGGTACAAGACGTCGGCGGAGCTCCCAGTGTCGACCATTACCCTCTTTACCCGAGCGTTGGCGATCTGGATGGAGATCACCAGAGCGTCGTCATGATGGGACCGTTCCCCCTCCTCGGCCCCAAAAGAGATTTCGGGTTCTAGCTCGGGTCGGGGGCGTTTCTCGACCGAGCTTCGGGCATAGGATTTCCTTGCGCTTGAGCTGCCGCCGCCTGCCGCCGGTCTCCCGATGATGACATCGACCTGCTTTTCGACGGGCATCTGGGGACGCGGGGTTGCTTCTCGAGGTTCCTTGAGATAGCGGCCGAGGTACCCCCTTCTGATCAGCTCCTCAATCTGGTTCTGGAGGTCGTGGCAGTCCTCTGTGTCATGGCCATGGTCTCGATGGAACCTACAGTATTTCGACCGGTTTTTGTAAGTAGCTCTCATGGGATTGGGGGGTCGCAAAAGACCTTTCTCCCTGATCTGGAGGAAGATCTCGATACGAGGCGTGTTGAGTGGGAGGGGCGGAGGCCTCGGGAGCCGCTGCTCGGGATGGTCGAGCCTCCGATGGGGTTGCGGGTCGACCGACGAGGTGGCAGCTCGGGATTGCTCGATCCGCGGTTTCTTCCCGACCGTGCGTCTTCCTGCTGCCAACGCTTCGCCGGCGACGTATTGGTTGGCACGGTGGAGCATCTCAAGGACAGTGGCCGGCGGCTTCTCAATTAGTGACCAGAAGAACCTCGAGGGTTTCAGCCCCGTCAGGAACGCCTGCATGATCAAAGAAGGGTGAGTATCCGGATACCCGCGGATCTCCGTGGCGAAGCGTGTTACAAACTGTGCGAGCATCTCCTCTCCGTGCTGCGATAGTGCCAGCAGGGCGGCTATGGGAGGCCGAGGCCACGCGCTGGTAAGGAAGCTTTGTTCGAACTCCTTGGCGAACTGGTCGAAAGATGTGATTGAGGACTGGCGCAGCCGGCTAAACCATGCGCGTGCTGGTCCTCTGAAGGTGGTCGGGAATGTACGGCACATTAGTGCGTCGGACGTGCCGTAGAGGGCCATCTGAGTCCTGAACGCGGCGACATGCTCCGCTGGGTCGGAGCCGCCGTCATATGTTTCTAGGGCCGGCACCCTGAAGTTGAGGGGAACAGGTTTCTCTTGTATTTCCTGAACAAAAGGGGATCCACCCGAGGTGCCCTCGTTTGATTCGTCCCGTGACTTCTGGAGCTCACGTCGGAATTCGTCCAGGCGACGGTTGACTTGGGAGAATTGTACCTTAATGAAGCTATCCGCCGAGTCGGATGATACGGAGTCAGGCTCAGGGCGACGTCGCGCGGCTCGGGAGGGTGCGGGAGAAGCGCGTGCGGGCGAACTCTCGTGGTGAACGGCCCCGTCTCGGGTTTCACCGGTTGCATCCTGTCCCGTGCTCGACCTTTGTTGGGTTGGGTCGGCGGAGGCGTTTGTCAGTCGCCTGATTTCGGAAATAAGTGGGACAACTGTCTGCATTATCTCCGCTATTCCCTGTACTTGCTTAGCGAGGGCGAAAAACGCCTCGGGCGGTACGGCCGGGGGGCCGACCGCAGGTAATGGGGGTGGCATCCCTAAGTCGTTGAACAGGCGCCAATAACGATCCGGCGTTGACGTCGGCATTTCTCTTTCTCCGTGGGCGACGGGTCCGACGGAGTCGGCATGAGGATCGCTCGACATTCGGGCCCTCCTTCTAGCGCCAATCTGATGCGGTCTGCACCTGTTTAAGCCGTGACCTCGGGGCGGTACGGCTCGGTTCAGGGGTCCGGATGCCGAGGATCACAGGTAGAGCTTCTTGACGTCTTTGGGGAAGCGCTCGCGGCAACCCGATCGGGGCGTGGTCTTCGGAGATGGCTAGTTGCAGCGTCCCGGTAACGCGGTCGCCGTGTACCTGCACAAAGGTCGGACCGTATCTTCGGCCCGACCCCTCCGACGGTCCAATTAGTGGACGAGAAGAGGATTTATGTGTGTAGAACTCGTGCTGTTGTCCCCCCCCTTTACCTTTAGGGCTCTAGACTATTTATAGTTTGGGTCGGGTACTACCTGATGTTCCTGCCTGTCAGAGCAGGGTCGTGCCTCTGGCTGGATTTGACATCGCCATTAGGGTCGCGTGGCGGACCATCCTGTCGCAGGGTATGGGCGGCCTCGGTCGTCGCCTTCTGCGTTTGGGTGAACGTGCAGGGTATGGGCGACGGAGCCGCTGGCTGAGAGGGGGTGACGTTGGCGACGTCGGGTCAGCGTTAATGGCCGTTCACTCGGGCAGGGTGCGGGCCACGCGCGGATGGCATCGTGGCACGTCGCGTCGCCATTACTCCCTGAGGGGAGTCACTTCGACTGTCCAACCATGGGATGGCTGGCGTCACAGTTCGTGTCCCCGTTGACTCTATGGTGACCCCCCTATCAAACGCCATCCACGTCCTCACCGATTCGCAGTTGGTAGCCGAGCAACTCAACGACGGGTACGAGGCCAGGGAACCAACCATGGCAAAGTACCTGGTGGAGGTAAAAAGCCTAGCCTCCGACTTCTCTCACTTTACGATATCTAGGGTGCCGAGGAGTCAAAATGAGCGAGTCGATGGGCTGGCTAAACTGGCCTCAAGATCAGACCCCGAAGCCCAGCCCGAGATCGAAGAGCTCCCTTTTCGTGCTATCTCGATCTCGGTTGTGTCTTCGATCGACGCGCAAACTACCTGGGTACAGGAGATGCTGCGCTTCAAGCAGGATGGGATTCTCCCCGCCGACGAGGTCGCGGCTCGGCGCATGCGCCATATGCAGGCGTGGTACTCCAAGGTGAACGTATGGCTCTATAAGTGATCTTTCTCACATCCTCTCCTGCGGTGCCTCGAACCCGAAGAAGCCCAGATGGTCCTGGCCGAGGTCCACGAAGGGATTTGTGGAGAACACATCGCTGGGCAGACCCTAGCGTACAAGATCCTTCGCCAAGGGTACTATTGGCCCACCATGTCCCGAGACGCGAGAGCTTACGTGCAACAATGTGGCCCGTGCCAGAGGCACGTTCGAACCCCCCGGTAGCCCGCGGTTCCGCTCACCCCCATCGATTGTGCGCGGCCATTCGCACAATGGGGATTGGACCTCCTCGGACCTTTTCCGCCAGCTTCGGGGCAGCGGAGATACATCGTCGTAGGAGTGGACTACTTCACAAAGTGGGTCGAAGCCGAGTCGCTAGCGACAATCACAGAGCGTCAGGTGGAGAAATTCGTCTGGAAGAATATAGTGACTCGGTTCAGCTTACCCAGGACTATCATCACAGATAATGGGGCATGGTTTTCCAGTGCGCGGTTCCGGGAATTTTGTGTGAGCCACGAGATTCAGTTGAGGTTTGTTGAATCTCGGATTTTGATGATGAAGTCAATTGTCATTTGTTGTCTAATCTATGTGTTGAGATAAGTGTGCAGGATTAACTACGATGAAAGTTAGACAAGCAGCAGGAGTTGCGCCGGAGTCAAGTTCATGATCACGTTGGGAGTTCGAGAGTTCGACGGAAGTTCGGACGGTCGTCGGAGGTTCTGCGAGAACAAATCCGAGAAGTCCAGAAGATTGTCAAGCGAAGCTCGTCGGAACTTGCCAAGTGGATCGTCGCAAAGTCCAGGAGTTTGCCGGAAGTCCGCAGGAGCATCACCGAGGGTTCATCGGATGATCGACGGAAGTTCGCCGGAAACTCGCCGGAAGAAGCGATTGACGCACCGAAGCAAAGCTGCAGAAATTGTCTTAGATTTAATCGTAGTTAG